TAAATCAGATGAAGGTAAACTACTGAAAAACCACCAAGAAGATGACTCAGCTGAGAACCCAGCTGGAATAATTTTCTGTCTAAACTTGACAACAGTCATTGGGTACTCGTCTTATTACCTTTGTTTATTGTTAATTTTAAAATGTTTTATACTATTATATTCACTCCATGTGTCATCAATTGTTATAAATACCAAGTAAACCTGTCTTCAGAACACATAACTCAGAACTCTTCTTGTCTTGTGAGTATCACCAGAAACATGATGCAAACTAGGTTTCTTCAGCCATCATCATGGCCATTCCATAACATCATCAACACAACCCTTGATCAAACNATGTGTGTGTGTGTGTGTGTGTATATATATATATATATAAATACATATTAGTCATTATTCGTGTCTGAAGATACTCTTAACACAAAAAATTTACCAAGCAAATGGTACATTCAAAAATGTCTTAAATAAAAGAAGCGAAAGGGTTGAAATAAAGGAGAATCATATCATATTAATATAATCTAAGAATTCTCATAAACTTAAAGTAACACCATTACAAAACTATTGTGCTATACATTTCTTTATGGTGATTCTTCTTTCCACCAAATGAGTGTTTATTTTTTCAATCTCTGACCGAATCTAATGAATAGGTTGTCTAGTTTTAAAAATGAATATCATTAATAACACACAATTAAATCATTGAATCAAATTAAACAAATCAGCCACATTGAACTACAAATCAAATTTTCAAAAAATTGAAAAAAGTCCAACTAAAATTACATTGTCCGACGAATCTACATGTACCTACGAGGACAATTGATTTAAATTTTCTCTGCCACTATAACTTCTCAGATGTTACATAAATATTCTCATGCTACAATTAAACCAAATCAACAAAATAAAAATTTCATCACCTAAAAAAAATTAATCTAATTGACATTTTTGTCGTTTCGGTGTCTATTTTGCGTTATTCAAGTATTCAAAAAAAATAAAAAAATATGAACATTAGCAAAGAGAAACCAATGCAAATAAGGAAAAAGAAATTTATAGTTGATTTTGAATTTTTTTTTATGCAATTGGTTTCATTTATTTTTTTTATTTGTCATTATTTTTTTATTAGTAATTAGCTTGATTTTAAATTTTTTTAGTTTTTTTGGTGCAATTGATATCAATTGTTATTTTTTATTGGTGATTAGCTTGGTTTTAATTTTTTTTTANGGTTTAAACCCTAGTGATGATGTGTTGCAAACTAAACGGATGGCTGGATGGGGATTATTTTGGGTCGGGAAATGTTGCTTAGATCCGGGAATTTTATGTCTAAAATGGGCCCAGTTTCGAACTGAGGGAAGTATTGGCCCATTTGAGTTCAAGTTGCTTATGAGCCCAAGCAAATCTAATTAGCGAAAATTGGGACTGAGTCATCCTACATAGATTTATAATGACTTGAATCTGTCAAAAAAATTTATTTAGTGATAAGTTCATTTTTTTTCTTACTAATAAGTACTTAAGTCTACTATTTTTTTAAATTTCAAACATACCCTTTTTTGAAAGGAGGTTAAATTAATTTCCTATCTTGGAAATTATTGTCCTTTAATTCAATGTCAATTAAAACATGCTAATAAAATCTCCATCATAAATTTAAAATTCAAATTCAAATTCAAATTCAAAACTCTTCCCTTTCTGCCCCCTTCTTCGACCAACTAGTGGCGATGTCGTCGTGGCTGCAAACAATACTGAATTCATCGAGGAACTAGTTAATAGCTTAGCACAAGAAGACCCTTTTTCACTTGCCGTCACAGACATGGTTAAGGTTTAAAAAAAAAATATTTGTCCGTTCTTTCTCTGTTTCTCAAAGCTCAAATTGTTGTTTCATATTATTTATCTGTGTATTTGGATTCAACAGCTTAACACAAGAAGGCCATTATAAAACCTGGTGGATTGTTGGATCATTAATCTTTCTTTGTAAAACTAGGGGATTAGGTAGGCAATTTTGAATTTTGTTAAAACTTTTGAAAAAATTAAACTCCGAAATTTTACACTGTTATTGTTACACTATTACACTATTCGGATATTAAATTAATTTAAAAATAAACCATTTTGTTAAAAAAAATGCATGAATTAAGGTGTATTAAAAGATAATTCAAAATTTAAATAAAGAGATTTAATAACAAGTATATACATACATACATACATAAGTGTGTATATATACGTGTGTGTATATATATATATACATATATGTATTAAAGTTCTCTCATAAAACTAGGAGATGTTTAATGCACCACTTTCCAAAGAAAAGTGGTGTATTAAATACACATAGATTAATGGAGTGTAAAAATGTCACAAAAAAATCAGTAAAATTCAAATAATATACTTAGATATAAATAAGTATCAAAATTAAGGACTTAATTACCCAATATTTTTTTCTATATATTTTTTTACAATTAAGTCTAATTTGATGTATCTCATTCCAATTTTTCCTAAGTTCATCCTAGAAGAGTTAGTCCCAATTTTTCCTTATAAGGGAGCCCATATGAAGGCATAAACCAACAAAAAAACACTAGACCCATTTTGGGCCCAAAAATCAATCCATTAATCTCACACAATAACATTTTACAAGAAAAAAAAAATATTTTCTGTACATAATTTAGTGATCTTATCTGATGACATAATGGATCATAGTTGTGGAATTGATAGTGAGTCTTAACTAATAGTAAGATTCACTATCAATTTAATGACAAAATTTAGTGATCTTATTTGATGACATAATGGATCATTGTTGTGGAATTGATAGTGGATCCTAACTAATAATAGGATCCACTATCAATTTAATGATGAAAAATGATAAAGTCGTCAAATAAGGTTACTAAATAAAGTTCATGTAATGTTGTCTTTTTTATTATAATCTTGAAAAACTAAATCAAGCATATATTCCATGAGTAATGCCTAATTCATAGAAAAATACTTTTATAAAAGTGTCAATGACGAAACAATATAATCTGTCAAATAATCTTTGAATTTGAAAGTTTTGGAATTTTTTATTTAATTTAAACATTAAGTCAATTAATTATACTATCAATAAAAAAAGATATACTAGAAAAACTTCAATACGAATACTAAACAATTAATATGCATCCGGAAAAAAATTAAATATTAAAAAATTTACACTATTATTGAAAAATTTATTAAAAAAAATCTCAACTGAATTTATCACTTTAAACTTCAAAACATATCAAACTATCCCTGCATCAACCGAGGAGGGGGTTGTACAATTTATCATTGTAGTAATCAGTCCCAGATGTTGTATATATATATATGTGTGTGTGTGTGTGTGTGTATATATATATATATATAAATACATATTAGTCATTATTCGTGTCTGAAGATACTCTTAACACAAAAAATTTACCAAGCAAATGGTACATTCAAAAATGTCTTAAATAAAAGAAGCGAAAGGGTTGAAATAAAGGAGAATCATATCATATTAATATAATCTAAGAATTCTCATAAACTTAAAGTAACACCATTACAAAACTATTGTGCTATACATTTCTTTATGGTGATTCTTCTTTCCACCAAATGAGTGTTTATTTTTTCAATCTCTGACCGAATCTAATGAATAGGTTGTCTAGTTTTAAAAATGAATATCATTAATAACACACAATTAAATCATTGAATCAAATTAAACAAATCAGCCACATTGAACTACAAATCAAATTTTCAAAAAATTGAAAAAAGTCCAACTAAAATTACATTGTCCGACGAATCTACATGTACCTACGAGGACAATTGATTTAAATTTTCTCTGCCACTATAACTTCTCAGATGTTACATAAATATTCTCATGCTACAATTAAACCAAATCAACAAAATAAAAATTTCATCACCTAAAAAAAATTAATCTAATTGACATTTTTGTCGTTTCGGTGTCTATTTTGCGTTATTCAAGTATTCAAAAAAAATAAAAAAATATGAACATTAGCAAAGAGAAACCAATGCAAATAAGGAAAAAGAAATTTATAGTTGATTTTGAATTTTTTTTTATGCAATTGGTTTCATTTATTTTTTTTATTTGTCATTATTTTTTTATTAGTAATTAGCTTGATTTTAAATTTTTTTAGTTTTTTTGGTGCAATTGATATCAATTGTTATTTTTTATTGGTGATTAGCTTGGTTTTAATTTTTTTTTANCAGATCGTCGAAATTTTTTTAAAACAGGCCATATGAAATTTTCTAATATGTCGTGTAGAGTTAATCTTGATTGGCGTTTGCTTTTTTGACAGTCTTAATCTGCCATATAGTCATATACTATATGTGTTGCGTCAAAGAGTTTTAGATCTTCAAAAAATGATTATTCCAACAAACTGGGGGTGAATTATATCCCGGGTGACTTCAGGAGAATTTTCCAAGTTTTCTCAACCATATCAAATTTGAAAGCATTCATTCCTCGGTTTCAACTCTAGGCTCTTGACTTTGAGTTGGGTAGGCCTGATTCGACCCATTGTCGACCCAGCAGAAAAATAAGAATAAAATTGTTTAACACCGACATCTCTCAAACTTTATGACAATGAGTATGAATTGGATAAAAGGACCAAAATATTATTTTGAAACGGTCGAAATATTTGAAACGTTTCTGTTTTCAAGGAGACTAAAATGAATTAGAGATAAAATCAAAATTTTAATATTTCGGAGTGTTCCATAATGTTTCGAAATTTTTTATTATACTTTAATATATTTACACAATTATTTCGGAATGTTTCAAGATATTTTGGTATATTTCAATCAATGTTCTGAAAAAGTAATTCTTAAATTTTTATTTTTTTAATATGATTTTCAAAACGGGTCGAAACGTTTTCGAAATATGTCGAAACGTTTTCGTTTTTTAGATGATCGAAACAATGCATCAAAACGAAATTTTGATCCTTAATTGGATACGATTTTTTACGGTATACTTGTCACCCATACACTATTTATTTGTACTTATCTTAATTCTTCCTAAATTAATAAATCAGATGAAGGTAAACTACTGAAAAACCACCAAGAAGATGACTCAGCTGAGAACCCAGCTGGAATAATTTTCTGTCTAAACTTGACAACAGTCATTGGGTACTCGTCTTATTACCTTTGTTTATTGTTAATTTTAAAATGTTTTATACTATTATATTCACTCCATGTGTCATCAATTGTTATAAATACCAAGTAAACCTGTCTTCAGAACACATAACTCAGAACTCTTCTTGTCTTGTGAGTATCACCAGAAACATGATGCAAACTAGGTTTCTTCAGCCATCATCATGGCCATTCCATAACATCATCAACACAACCCTTGATCAAACTAGATTTTATGGTCTTAACATGGATACCCTAGTAGTTGATGACCATGAATTCTCTTCCTTATTCACAAACACTGAGGACTCCTCTGAGATCTCCTCCGACCCAAATTTTCAAACCACCTTCTCCTCCGATGAGTATGTTCAATTGCCAATTTTGGATGATGATGAGATGCAGGTGATCACGTATCCCGGGGAGAATTTTTGCCATGATATGGCTGATTTTGAGCCTATTTCAAGTGGTGCAATTGAGGATGTGGGCATATGGTTGGATGAAAGAGATGGTGATGAGGGATATATTCCACCAGAGCTGTCTAATGAATTAGATGTATGGTCCCCTTGTCTCTCTGTGAAATCTAGTGAGGCTTCCGTGGTGCTACCATCACTAATATTACCAAGGGATGACATGGAAATTGATATCCAGTTGGGCCTTCATCACCTACTAAAGGCTTATGGAGAAGCCATGGAGATGGGGCAGAGAGAACTTGTTAAGGTGCTCGTGAGAAGCATAAACGAGAAAGCTAATCCGATTGGGGAAGCGCTTCAACGCGTCACATTCAACTTCTTCCAATCCACAGAAAATCAAGGTGACTACCTGAAACAGGAGTCAATTAAGAACTTTGAAGCAGCTTTCAAGGCCTTTTACCAGATGTTCCCATATGGGAGGTTTGCTCACTTTGCAGCCAACTCTGCTATCCTTGAAGCTATTCCAGATGATGCAGAGGTGATACACATAGTAGACTTTGACATTGGAGAGGGGGTTCAATATCCTCCCATGATTGAGGCCATAGTGCAGAAGCAAAAGACTTTAAGATTAACATCAATAAAATCAGAAAACGTTTCCAATTTTGCGCGGTGGAAGTTTGAAGATACAAANCAGACAAATAATGCTAAGTGAAAGACAGTATGAGATATATACATATGAGAGTTCGGTGTATGAGATAGAGAGAGAGAGAGCGAGAGAGTTATATAAGAGATGAGAATCTTAGAGTTGTAAAATGAATAAAAGTCTAATTAGAACCGTCGAATCAATAATCCTTAAGTGATCTAATCCGCAAAAAAACTAAAAATAAAGAAATCTACCTACTTTATTTTATAGATATATAATAAACCGTTATCTATTAGCTACATGAAGTCCATAAGGAACATAACCCCAAATACATATAAATGTAATCAAGATATGGTATATTAGTAGGAAGTTACCTCGAACTCTTTGTTTTTGACTTCCATTTTCATAAACAGTTATATTGATTTTGAATTAGAAAACTTTCGTCAATTACAACTCAATACCCATTTAGATCACCATTTCAAATAGCTCATCAACTTCCCAGAAGCTACATGTACTGCCAAAGAGTCCAAATGCAAGAAAGACAGAGTGCGAAGCTTATGGTCTATTCCTTTCGCAAATACAGTTAAGTTGCCTCCCTTGAGAGACGATTTTAAGCCTGTAGAGTATAATTGCAAACAATTTTCATATAAAAAGTATGTTACCATTAGGATTGGAAATTGAAGTTCACTTGACAAAAATTGGAGGCATGCAAGAGTGATGTTAGGTAGCGTGAATAAAGAAATGAAATTAAACAACAGAAATTAAAATTTGTTGATTATTGCAATAATACCATATTCAAGTCTTCAAAACCCTTTTTCAATCACGAAAAATACAAAGTTAATTGAAAAAAAAAAAGAAGAGAATTCGTCTTATTCAAAATAAAATGTTAAATCAGTTTCTCAATACAATATAAATATGAAACCCTAATAGTCTTAAATTATTAGAAAAACCATGTAAATAGAAAATTACTTAAAAAGTACTTAAAAAGTATCCTACACGTCATTTTTTAGCTTAAAAACGACGGATTGAAAGATCAGATCGTCGAAATTTTTTTAAAACAGGCCATATGAAATTTTCTAATATGTCGTGTAGAGTTAATCTTGATTGGCGTTTGCTTTTTTGACAGTCTTAATCTGCCATATAGTCATATACTATATGTGTTGCGTCAAAGAGTTTTAGATCTTCAAAAAATGATTATTCCAACAAACTGGGGGTGAATTATATCCCGGGTGACTTCAGGAGAATTTTCCAAGTTTTCTCAACCATATCAAATTTGAAAGCATTCATTCCTCGGTTTCAACTCTAGGCTCTTGACTTTGAGTTGGGTAGGCCTGATTCGACCCATTGTCGACCCAGCAGAAAAATAAGAATAAAATTGTTTAACACCGACATCTCTCAAACTTTATGACAATGAGTATGAATTGGATAAAAGGACCAAAATATTATTTTGAAACG